TGCTCAATTATTTCTCAGGAAGAGGCATCAGTATAGGTGTAACATGCTTCTTTTGTATACAAAGAAATGGCAAAAAATAGAGAAATGGGGGGGGGGGGGGAGAAAGAAAAAGACTATTCTACAAAAATAGGTTTTTGAGCTCTTTCAATTTGATATTTTGATTGTCTTCATATTATCAATCAGCCTGAAACACAGATGATCATGCTGCTTCAGACAACTGTTAGAATCACCTGGCTAACACTTTGTAAGGCATTTAAAGCAGTCCAAGAGCTCAGTATGTTATCTAACCCTCTTCCTGCAAAAACTGTGTCTTAAAAATAGTCATCCGTTTTACCTGGGAGCTAAGGAGGTGCAAGTAGATTCATGAGCTGTCCTGAAGAAACACGTGAATGGCTGTCAGCAAAAGCAGCAGTCAGACTTTTTTTGAAAGGGTAAGGAAGCCAAATGCCTCAAATTATTGCAATTATTGAATAAGTGGAGTTGTTGCAACAGACCTATTCTCGCATTTGCATTAGGTGTGTAGCAAATGACTGCTGTGTTCTCTGTCATCCGTGAGTCTTCAGGGCTTCTCTACTGCTTACACTAAATCTACCTATGCCCTAACTTGTCCAATTTACCACTGATTGTATTCCAACAGAATCACAGAATATGCTGAGGTGGAAGGAACCCATCAGGATCATCAAGCTAGCTCCTGGCCCTGGACACGACATCCCCAAAAATCACATCCTGTTCCTGAGAGCATTGTCCAAACACTTCTTCAACTCTGTCAGGCTTGGTTCTGTGATCACTTCCCTGGGGAGCCTGTTCCAGTGCCCAGCCACCTTCTGGATGAAGAACTTCTTCCTTATAACCAACCTAAACCTCCCCTGACTCAGCTTCAGGCCATTCCCTTGGGTCCTGTCACTGGTCACAGCAAAGAAGGCATCAGTCCTGCCCCTCCTCTTCCCCTCACATGGAACTGTAACTCCAGTGCACTGAGGTCTCTCCTCGGGCTCCTCCAGGCTGAACAGACCCAGTGCCCTCAGCTGCTCCTCACACGGCTTCGCCTCAAGGCCCTTCACATCCTCGTGGCCTCCTTCAGACACCCTCTAAGAGCTCAATAATGTTACCCAAATCCTTCCCCTGCTCCAGTTCTGGGAACCACAGGATCACAACGATTGCTGTGGGTACTTTTTCTTGGCTTTTCTTTGGAAACAGACATTGGGTAGAAAGTAGGCTCTAGCTGTCCTGGGTGTGCAGGCATGAGCCTACACCCTTGCACATCCTCCCTGATGGGTACCCACAGGATCTTTTCTCAAGCAAAGGAGAACAAGGCAGAAGCAAATGTGAGGGTGAAGGAGCAGACAGGACAATTGGAGGGTGGGATGTAGGGATAAGAAGATCTATAGCCAGCACAGCTCCTTCTTAACTCCTGAAACACATCCTTGGATATTAAGTCATGAGGCCTTGGTGAGAGGCCCGAGACATAAGAAACACAAAGACATGGCAAAGCTTGCCTTCAAGGAGGTCTGCTGAGGGAGTCTCTTCAAGATTCCTGTTGGCCATGCTGCAGCCAACAGGAGCCCACACCATGGTCTTCTGAAACAGGAGGGATTCAGCTCGTGTTGCTTTAAAATGAATAGCTTGAAGGACAGGCAGAAAAGAAGAGAACAGAGCAGCTTCTGTTTACCAACCTGCTCCTGCAGCATTACCAGGTGTGTGAGATTCCCCCCTTGAGTGCGGGCTGCACTTCCCGACGTGAGGCTCCAGATGTCATGGCCAGTGTTCACCTCCTGCCTGTATCTTTAGCACATGGACACCCAAAGCATATGACTAGTTTTTTCTCATGTTCTAAGGAATTCCTTCCACATGCCTAAAGCCTCTTAGCCCTCAATCACACACCTCTGTGTATGCTTATCTCTGTTTAATGTTGTTAATCACAGAAAACACTGATAATATTACCTTTACCCTTCCTCACACAATAATCCCAGGCAAACACAGCATAAAGGTTATGCACTCACCCTAACAATTATTACTTTACTACAGCTGTATAAAAGGAACTGTGAAATTTATCTTCTAGCTCTTGTCAACTGCTTTTAAACACTTCAAACACATAGTTGAAAGTGATCTGAAAGGGATGGTTGTCAAAACTGAGACTGACAGAATTTCTGGCTCTCTGTTTTGTTTCTCCATCCCCAGACTGATTAAGATCCAGCTTGGAGGTGGTGACTCGCAATGTTTTCATTTCAGGAGTACCTGAATGCAGGCCCTGCAATGGAGTCCACCTCCATTAGGCAGGACACAGCTATTGGTCTGGGCCAGAGGAGGGCAAGAGAGTCTTAATAAAAAAAATGAAAACCAAAATTTGTAACAATAAGGCCCACACATTCTGCTCCAGTCACATAATCTGCAACTCAGGAAAGCTCTTAGGCATGTATTTAAGAAAATGTATGTCTAATTTTGCTCTGAAAAGGCTTCTGTGTAAGTAAGTGATGTTTGGAATGAGATCTCCCTGACTGTACACAGTAAACAGATTTGCTGCCAAATTCAAAGTCTGCTTGACAATTACCACAGTACATCTTATTGCTGAAATATGTCAGATGAAGGTCACAACAAGTATTAAATAGCTATCCAAAAGCCTAGTAGCTAGCCATCCCTGTGGCTAAATCAGGCCCACACTGATATTTACAAGATATATTTAACAGGCACTGCAGAGACATGACAGATAGCAGCCCAAGAGCCATGAGTGAAGACTTTTGCTGTGCCCCAGCAGCCTCCTCTGGTCCTACAGACACCACTCCTTACACACTCCATCTGTTTTCAAATGTATTCTCCGTGCCACATGGATCTGCTTTTCCATGCCACAGATCCCACCCATCAAAGCATTCCCTCGCAGAACCACTACAGAAAACACAAAGATGCTTTACCAACTCAAAATATTTTATTTTCCAATTTTGAAGCTGATTGTACTCGCAGCAAACCATCCCCAATGCTGTTATGAAATTCAGTATTGCTCTTCAAGCCTATGTAAGTACTCGTGGCCTAGATTACACTGATAAAAAGCAACATTAGGAATATGCTAATAGTCATAATGTTAAAATACATTAAGAAGATTTCTCATGTTAAGAATAAGTTAGCAGATCCTAGCTAACTTATTCTAATGCACTCACTCTAATGCAGAGTAAAAATTCTTGCATAAATTATTTTTCAAGGGAAAAATGCAGATTCTCTCAAATTAATGCAGTCCAAGACTGCCACTTAGAAAAAAAGATTAAATATAAAAATTGCATCAACCATTTCAAAACAAAAAAAAATTCAAGTTTTCTACTATAATGGAATCCTTCAGTTGTTAAAGAAAATATTGTTTCTGACCTCAATCAGAAACAAAAACACATTTTAAGTGAGCCCAAATTTCTGCTTCAGGTGGTTCACTAGTTGTTTTCAGTATATTTAGTTTCCCACCAATTCCCAAACTGAATGGAATGTTTTAATTCAATGTAAGCCATAAACAAAGCTCCACTGTGTGCTGGAGTGAGTCCAGAGAAGGGCCACAGAGATGATGAGAGGGCTGGAGCACTTCAGCCTGTGAAGACAGGCTGAGGGAGGTGGGACTGTTCAGCCTAAAGAACAGGAGGCTCTGGGAAGAAGCCACTTTACTGTGGCCATCCAGTGCCTAAAGGGGGCTACAAGAAAGCTGGGGACACTCTTTAGCAGGGCCTGTTGCAATAGGACAAGGGATAAAGGTTTAAACCAACAAGAGCATAGATTTAGACTAGATGTAAGGAAGATACTTTTCACAGTGAGAGGTGTAAAATAATGGAATGGGTGGCCTAGAGAGGTGGCAGGTGCTCTGTCCCTGGAACATTCAAGGTCAGTTTGGATGGGGCTCTGAGCAACCTGATCTAGGTGAAAATGCTGACTGCAGGGACTTGGACTAGATGTCCTTTAAAGGCAACCCAAAGTGCACTGTGACTCTAATCTGCCTAGCTTTGCTCTTTTGTCCTTCTCTGGACACACTCCAGCACCTCAATGTCCTCTTTGTCATGCGGGGCCCAAACCTGAACAAAAGATTTGAGGTGTGGCCTCACCAGTGGGACAGTGCTGCCCTGGTCCTGCTGGCCACGCTAGGACTGATACAAGCCAGGTGCCACTGGCCTTCCTGGCTACCTGGTGGCTCATGTTCAGCTCTCGGGTGACCAGCAGCCCGACAGTCCTGTCAGTCGCTCCCATCCTCGCAGACGCTGTTAGTGCAAGGATCCTGAGTGTTGTTATCCCCATTTACAGCAGAGAAACAAAGCACCGTGTAACACCACAGAGCAGAAGACATCCCAGACTCTGTCTTTCCTTTTCCAGGCTAGTGACAGAGAACCTGCTGTCCAGAGGAAGAATACCTGCCATATTTACAAACAGTAACTGTGTATTTACCAATTTAGGAGGTGAATTGACTAGGAATCTAAAGTCTTGCCCTAGAGAGATTGTTGTTTATGTAGGTGGAGAGCCCACATGAATTTGGGGATTTCAGAACAAATATGAGACTGTATTTACTGATCAAAATTAGTTATGGTGAGCTGGTGGTGTAGAGTGAGAGATTATCTATTGTAATGGAGGAACCATGGAAAAATGCTATGTTGGACATATGACAGCAATCCAGGGTGAAATAAGACTTTTAAAAGTAAAAAAAGATTAAAAATAATTAGTCTGAATTAACTCCAAATCACAGCCATTCTAATAGTTAAAAAATAAAAATAAATCATATTGTAAGACAGTTTGACACCATCAAGTACTCAGTAACAGTATAAAATGGTATAAAGTCTTAGTAAATTACATGGTGTGAAAACCCTCACACCATGCACACATCTCTGGAGAATCAACAGGATTATCCTTACTGGTCCTTTCAGTACTGCAGCTCACAGACCTTCCTGCCATGTTCTGACATGAACAGTGGCTGTTTTTGGTGCAAGGATGTACAAATTCCTGAAGCTGATCTTACAGCTCCTGCAAAACAGGAGCACGGGAGGCTTCTAAACCTTTGGCAATGCATCTTCAACAACTGCACCATTTAGGATAATTTTAGGAGCCTGCTTCTTGTCTCTGGGTTCTTCAGTCACACACTCTGGAGGCTCTAGGTCGTGGTATTTTCTCCGATAGACCACCCTTGAGATTACAGTTATCAGAAACATTTCCATGATGAGCAGCTGCTGGGAAATGTCTAAAAAAAAAAAAAAAAAAAAAATAGGGGAGACAAAGACAAGCCCCACAAAAGGGGAAATTACTATCAGACAGAAAATGAATAATTGGCTTATTAATTTTCACCTGTGCAAAAGGAACAAACTCTATCATCCTGTCCCCATGTCTCTCACCCTCAGCAATTACATCAGTTACAGAATTCCAGTATGGCCCATCAAGAAGAATGCAATGAATTATGTATCCAAAATATAAGAGATTTAACAGTAATCATGCATGTTGATTTCTTTTCCTCTCATTTCTGATGCCAACTCTTCTTATTATCAAGTTGTTCTCTACAATCATGACAGCTATGAAACTTTTGTTATTGTTTTTAAACTAAAAAATTAGATTCTCCTAGAGCTAGTGATACCATGAGATTTGTATTCTGGGAAAACACCAGAGATTGCCATTAGCAACAATGAACGGGTACTTTTATAAATAAATGAAGAACATTCTTCCCCCAGAAAACTTACATGATCCTCTTGCTGTAGAGGAGAGTGGTGGAGCACAGGGAATAATTTTTTGTGTGGCGAATATGTTGATAATAGTGGTCTGCAGGTGGTTCAGAATGACAATAAACTGCACCAGAAAGGGAAAACAAATGACTTAGCTACCAGAAAGGCTTTCACAGTTCACACAACAATTCTGCTTTGATAACAGAACTTTGTTTGCCTCATTCCTCCTTGTATGCCCTCCTTTTCCCCCCACCTACCAGCAGGGTGCCTGCCATTCTGCAGAATTCATCTTCAGGTCAGGATGATATTGCTCTGAATAGGAGTATTAAATTAATCCTGGACTTGAAAAGTATTTCTTTTCAGGCCTTCATTTGGGAGGTACATTATACACAGATCTCCCAGCAGGGATTTCAAATAATACTGAGTTCTGAATAATAGGTAACAATGTTTTAAAAATGCCAGTTAATTTGATCCATGAGCTTATGTTCTTCCTTAGTGGAAGAAAGACTCAAAGAAAATTTTTCCTCTTGTCTCCTCTTTTTGCCACAGCAGGGAGATGTTGTGATCCCTAGATTATATGAGACTGGCTTTTTTGCCAGAAGGTATGAGGGACTCTTCACAGCTTGAGTTCAGCAACGACCACTTGCTCATCACATTACATTGAGCCAAACCTTTGCTGCCATGGAGTTATCCAAGTGCCTCTGTAGCTACTGGTGTTACTGCCTGAATCTAAACCCTCACATCAACAGAGTTTGTAATCCCAAACCTGAATTCACACTCACACAGCATTGCAGGTGTGACCATACTGTTTACTGCCTTTATTAGTGCTTAATAATTTACCTAACCTCAGTGCACCAGCCTTGATGCATGTCCAGTTCAAGATACATATCCAAGGATTCTGCTGGACTCTATTCAGTGATGTGCTTTTTGTCCCTGTGCTTTTTCAATCTAACCTGTGTGTACTGTTTAATGATTTGCAGCCAGTATTTTCACTATTATCTAATTCCGAAATGCAGAATGGCCAAGAAAAATACTGTTAAAACAGCATATTGTGGAATGCTGAAACAGTTCAAACAACAGCTGCCTGCACAATGCAACATCTCCTCTCTGAGGTACACACCAGCATTTTAGCGTTGCATTTCAGGATACCACATCTACAAAACTTCCTTCAAGCCCCACGGAAAGCGCTGTTGTGATTTCAGTGGTCTAAAAATAGATTTTACATGGCTTTCATGTCTCCAGCACTCCTAAGACTAGAGGTAAATTGGCTCCAAGTGAAACTGAACTGCAGCCAAGGAGAGTGCTTCAAAGGGATGCAGCTTTAATCAGGTAAAAATATGGCTTTGCACAGTGCATTTAATGGGAAAAAATACCATAAATTTTCAACAAAGGAGCAGGAACAAGAGAAGCAGAATAGTATCAGCAGTTAAGAGAAATTCTTACCAGAAATATTAATCTTCTCACCTGATAAAGAGCAAACTTTGGGATAATGTTCTTACACTTAAGGAGAATCCTAACTTTTCGAAACATGATTCCTACTGCCCACAGAGCACAAAGGGTGAGGGCACCAATGAAGCAGCTGATCCATAGTGCAGGTCCTTTGGGAGACAACTGAGAAGCAAATCACACAACCTTAAACAACCTTACTTCAATGTTTCCAGAAAGAAGTTGTGAAGTGGATGATGTTAAAATGCTTTGTTCTATCTCCATGAAAGCTGGTGGCAGCAGCAGTTGCAGGGTTTTAAATGGGGAAACTGCCCAGTACCAACTGGAGCGTTGGCACAGGCTCCTGCAGGCACCAACAGGGAGATGTGCTCAGCCTGGGGAGGTGCCAAGTGACACAACCCCTCAATGGTGCAATTGCCAGCCATGGAGCGTGTGCCTGTTCAGAGACTCCAGCAGCACCTGCCAATGCTCAACAGCTCATGAGAGCATGTTCAACCTGACATCTCAGGTGGGTCGTTCATTTTATACCAGAAAACAACAACAAAAATATTACTTTTAGTCTGAATTATCCAAGATGTGCCAAATTATTATCAGATACAGATTTCTCCATCATCTTGCAGGTTACATGGTTACAAAGCAGAAGTATAGTACTATCTTTTCATTTTGCACAGATATAAAAATCACTGTGTCTTGCTGAAAAACACAGAATTAGGCTTCCTGTTGACATGCCAGTACACCTATTTCTTAAGGCTGTACCTTACAAAACACAGGGCAGATACATCCCACAGGACAACTTGCAGTCCTGCTAATCTAACCATACTAGCTGGGAAATATATTGGAGCATAATCTGATACCCATCCCCCCTGATGCCCAATTTCTTTCCAAGAGAGTTGAGGAAGGCAGAAATCGAGGCTGTCAGGAAATTATATGCTTCTGGTCTCAAAAGAATACAGTAAGGACTCACTTGGAAATGGTCCCAGATTTCACAGTTTAGTTGTAGGCTAAGATAGTTACATCTGCCCTGAAACCTATGGATTTTGAGGACCTTCTCTGATTAAAATAGTTACTTACATTGTAAAGAACGTAATTGCCATTAGTCCAAAGCACTATTGATAAAAATATGAGCACAGGCCGAAAGACAGCAAACTGAAAGGTGCCCAGCTTCAGCCAAAAGAGGGTTTGCCTGGACAAAAAAATAAGCAAAAGAAAAAAATCATGGCCATGATCATATTAGCAACTTTAATAACAATTTCTGGATACTGTCACCAGCAAAACTTTTCCATTCCTGTAGTATGTGGCTAAAATCTGGGGAGGAACAGCTTCAAGATTAGAAAATATTTCCAAGAATTTCCCAATGTTTATTTAATAAAGTCTCTACAAAAATAGTACTTTTCCTGCTCTGCAACAAGTACATACTAACCAAGGCTGGGCAAAACATGATGTCTTTCTCTCCCCTGAAGCTAGCCAGGGAGACAGTAGCTGCATAACCAGTTTCTGAACAATGATGCCATTTGCTCTTGCCTTGTTGCCTTATTATTTCAGTCCTCCCATGAAATTGGACAAATCAGTCTGTTCAGCCACTTCTTGGTCCTGTGGCACATCAAGAAAGAGGATCACGCAGACCTAGGTGAAAGGACTGGTGGTTTTTCAGTGCAGTGGAAGAGTACCATGTTTGGGTACTGGGTCTGGCATCTGGGTTTGTCCCTCTGTAGCCTAACACAAGAAAGGAACAGTCTCTCACTGGGCAAATTGCACAAGGCCAGCAGGACAGCTCAGGATTCCTTCACTGCTGTCACTATAAAGTGGCTCCAGAACACACCTGTAACCTGGCCAGCCAGCACCGAAGGCCACCAAGAGAGGGGCAGATGAACTTTCTAACAGAGGGCATGAAAGCTGACTGACCTGAGCCCTCCTTCAGCTTTCACAGGGGAAGCTGCTGCTGCTACAGCTGCCTCAAGTTTCAGTCTGTTACTGTGCATTATTTCCCATATTTTCAGTGTTGTTTTCACTGGAATTCCTTGGGCCTTGCTATCGGAGATGTCTCACAGACAACAGGCTGCCATTTAGTGTGCTAAAGGATAAAACCATGAACCAGGAATTACAGGAATTGCTCAATGAATATAGCTAGTAATCACAGGATTACCAACAGCACAAACCCATGTGGAAAGACCTGCAATGGACCAGCCACTTAGTGTGTACCTTTCCAAAGATTTATTATTCCCAGAGAACTTTAAAGAATAATACATATGACAAAGAGTGCAGTCACTGCAATGCCATGAGTTGTTTCCCTTGTTAGCACAGGCCCACCTCTACTGATCACCAGATCTCTTCTGCCACACCTCTCCCAGTTGTATGGATTGTTACACTGCCTCATCTTGTTATTTTCCCCTGGATGTTTGGTTTTTTTTTTTAAGAATTAATCCCTCCCTTGGGATAGCTCCCTGTTTCCCCATAAGATACCTATGGAAGGAATGTGAGACTGACTTTTCTCTCATATAGTTTGCCAGTATATTTTTTTAAAAAAGGTACCCTGCAATGGGAGAAGGCCAGAGGTTAGAAGCAGAGAGCAGATGGGTTTCCCAGTGGTACAGACACTGGAGAAGGAGGCCTAAGCCCTCTGCAGAGCAAAAAGCCTTTTTTTTTTTTTTTTAGTTTTTTAAACAGCCAGCTGTCCTTCCTGCCAGCAGTAATAGGCACTGTCTAGCTCCTGAAATTAGCCCATATTAGCTGACATCATCCTGCATAAACTGCCACTGGGCTGAACCACAGAAGGCAGAGTAGGGGATCCTCTCCCAAGGTCCCAGCTGCTACAACCTATACACAGGGTAACAGACATGGGAAGGACAAATAAAGGTGCATTTTTAGTTGGTTTACTACCTCTTCTTCTTCATAGCTCCTCCATGTAAATATTTAGTGTTACTCTGTTAAAATAAAATTATGGAAACTAAAGTTTTAATTCTAATACCAAATGAGTCAGTTTAAGGAAAAAATATTGTAATAAAAATTTAGAATTTTTGAAAATGCGTCAAAAACCACTATGCTGTGTTCTTCTGTTTGATGGTTTTCTCTAAACAGATTGTACAGTTCCCTAGGACCATCTGACACTAAAGTCCATAGAAAAGTCTCTTTTCAGTCCCTCAGATTTTGCTTATGACAGTATTTGGCTCCTGCAGCTCTCCATCCTTACCCCCTTCTCAAAGATGCTTTAATACTGAGTTTAGAAGAAGAAAATATCTGCTTTTGCCTCACCAGATGATGCCATTTCATTGAGAACAAAGCTTTATAAGAATTTAATCTACTTTTCATTCTAAAATTTATTTTAATCTCAAACAGTTTTAAAGTCAAAATCACAATGAAACATTTAAATTTTATCAAAGTGAGAGAAATTTTCTATCAAGAGAGCCTCCATTTGATAATTCTGCTTGTGAAAAATACCCAATCTCAAGATATTTGTTCCCTTCTGGAATTAAAAACGGAATTGTCAATTATTAGGTTTTTTAGAGTAGGAATTTCTCCTCCCATACACCTCTGCATTATAGAAACTAAATAAATTAGTGGTGGTGTACAGCCTTAAAGTGATGATGCTGTTTAAAAGAAACAGTTTGAGACATCTTGAGACTGACTTTTGGAAAGCTTTGCTGTAAGCCTGGCCCTGCCAAGCTGGCTGAATTCCAGCAGCCGTTTCCAGGCTTCTGAAAGGGAAATCTTAAAGGGGTGACTCACCTGGTGATGGGCACATGGGGCAGGCAGAGGCAGCAGCAGCAGCAGGGGCCGGTGGAGATGGTGAAGTGACCATTTTCAAACCGTCTGAGGAGCACCTTCTGCCCTCCACACTCTTTAATCATCATCATCAGGAATTTGTGGATAACTATGGCAAAAAATCTAGGGGAGGAAGAGAATTCCAGCTTTAACTTGCCTGTGTGTCTCATATGCCTGTGCAGGCCAGTGTACAGGGTTTTTACAGCTTGTGTAAAAGCAATCAACAAAAATTCTAGCTCTGTCTTTGAGACACCGTCTGCTTTCCATCACGTTGGAGGAGCAGCACTGCCCAACCCTCACTGAAAGAGGAATAAACTGAGGCACAGAGCACATGTGGAATTTCCCAAAGCCGCTCTGGTGGCTGGTGGCAGAGTTGGTGTTAAAGCACAGGCTTTCCTGGCCCAGTCATTCTGGCTGTATTTTTCCATAAGTTATCTAGTTCTCACTAGTCAGAACTTTTTAAAACAAGTCCTCTTGCTCCTCAAACATGGCTTTCAACCAACAAACATGGCTAGGGTCACATAAATAGCTGTTATTGAATGTGCTGGCCCAGGCAGGGTGTGGTTCCTCTGCAGACAAAGCACCTACTGCTGCAACTCCACCTATCCCTCTTTCCCCAGCTGCACATTCTCAACCCTACCCAGGAACTACAGATTATGCCACCAAACATGGAAATCCAATCAAGAAAAGAGGTCCTCTGCTGCACTGCCTGTAGCTTGGGCAAAGGAGTAGAGGGAGTTTAAATATGCTTGAAGTGCCACAGGACTGGATTGTTAGAAGTTTCTGGCAATCTGCACCTCCTGTACACACTGCTACATGCCAAGAGTATTTCCTACTACTGTGTTGTCCCTCCTCTTTTATTCTTTTACTCTTTTACTCATCTCCAGATGTGGAGTGCTCAGGGCCACAGCATACCCTTACTTTGTCCTGCCCTCCAGGGCTGTGCCGACACCTCCAGAAAACAAGGACCACATTTCTCCCTCCTCTCTGGGCATGCCAGAGCTGTCATGCTCACACATAAAGTGCTTTTATCAGGACAACTGTGGAACATTTTTACATTGATGTGCTCACTAGGGGCTTGCTTGGCACCATTAATAATAGACCTCTACAGATCATCATTAGTAAAAGTGCAGGGAAGAAGTCACAGGCCAGATTCTCATTCCAAATGACATGCAGAGAGAGGAAAGACAGACTACTGCTCCAAAGAGACTGTCAGTCCAAGGAATCCATTACATGTGAGTCACAGATCCTTCATACTGACGTTCCTACACTAGGGGACTGTAGCACTGGGAACTGTTTCAGCATTTTCCACCTCCCAGGAAAGAACTGCCAAGAGATTTCAACTCAATCAAAGAAATTAGGGAATTGTTAAATTTACAGAACTACTATGTTACCAAGAGCAGCAGCTGGTTAAAGGGAAGAAATTCAGGGCTTGGAGCAACACTTAGAAACAAGCAGAATACTCACATTCCTGCTGTGAAATCTGTAAACATCGTTGAGCGAGGAACCCACATGCCAATGCATGAAGTAGTAGAGATCACCTACAGAGAAAAGGGAGGAAGGTTGCATGAAGGGCAGAGAGCTCATGTGGCTCCTGTAGATTTTCAGGGAAGCCTTATTTTCAGCATTAAATTTTATCTTGTTTTCATGTTAACTTACTGGAGCTGCAGCATTAATCCAAATTATGATTGAACTTTTGGAGGAGGGGATTTTCCTGTAGATGTAGACTGCTTCCTCTATAAACACCAGAATGGCAATGAGCGTCATCAGAGTCAAGGTTGCAAAGAGAAATCTCCCTGGTAGGTCAAGGCCTGCAGAGAGAGAGAAGAAAGCAGACAGTTCTGATTTATTTCATAAGCTTGTCAAATATTAATGTAACAACACCATCTCTGAGGGGCTTCTTTGCCTTATTCCTGCAAATACTTGCGCTCATTCCTAGTTACACAGGCAGACCACCGACTCCACAGAACCATTCAAATACCGAAGTTCATGACTAAATCTTTCCAGGATCCATGGAGAGCAGGCAGGAAGAATACTCTTTCACCTTCTGAAAGCATTATGCAACAGTCCATTTCAGAAAAGGGGAGTTCCGGGACAAATATCCTGAGATGATTGTATGAATGTATGAATGTATATGTAGCAGAAATAAATACATAATCTGGGAACTTTTCCAGGTAGGCTACAAGCAAACATGTATTCATTAGTTCTCTGCTTCCATCATATGCTCATAGGCATGTAACATGTAACTTCCTTAGGCAGGCAAACTTACTAGAAGCTTGGTGGAATTTTGTAGGGCATGCAAGCAATGTAAGGAAAAGTCTCTTATATCCCAAGGCTGAGATAAAACTTGGTGTCTTCACCAAAATCTTTTTTTTGCTTCTCCCTTAAACATTTCAACATTTACCCATAGGTGATAGGTTTTATGTCTCCATTGACACTGGTGTCATATCGAAAGCCTCGTGGGGTCCCCTGGCTGGCTCTGGACCCCAGCTTCTCTGACAAGGACTGGGTATGGGTATCAACTTTGACCCAACTGACGGCTGAAGTGCATTTTCTCCCAGGGGATGTGTTTCCAGAGACAGAAAAAGGCACCGCAGTGGAATCATGCTTAATTAAGAAGTTCATGCTCATCATCAGTACTAACTCCTGCCGGACCTGCAGCCTATCTGAAGGCAAAGCAGAGCCTCTGCCCCAGCCTCTTTATTCTAACCTGCTTCAAAAACCCCCGGCAGTTCCTTGGCTGCAGGCAGGGCAGTGCACGTCTCAGTGGATATCTCCAATCCTTAAATCTCACCGGACGGAGCCTGAGACCCGGCGCAGCTCCAGGGGCCGGTTCACCGCTCGGTCCCGCAGGTCCCGGGCAGCCCTTCCTGCCCCAGCGCCCCGCTCTGTGCCAGCCCCGCTCTGGCCAGCCCGGCTCTGGCCAGCCCGGCTCTGGCCAGCCCCGCTCTGTGCCAGCCCCGCTCTGGCCAGCCCGGCTCCGGCCAGCACCGCTCTGGCCAGCCCCGCTCAGTGCCAGCCCCGCTCTGTGCCAGCCCTGCTCTGGCCAGCCCTGCTCTGGCCAGCCCCGCTCCGGCCAGCCCCGCTCTGTGCCAGCCCCGCTCCGGCCAGCCCCGCTCTGTGCCAGCCCCGCTCAGTGCCAGCCCCGCTCTGTGCCAGCCCGGCTCTGGCCAGCCCCGCTCCGGCCAGCCCCGCTCTGTGCCAGCCCGGCTCTGGCCAGCCCCGCTCTGTGCCAGCCCCGCTCTGGCCAGCCCCGCTCTGTGCCAGCCCCGCTCTGTGCCAGCCCCGCTCTGGCCAGCCCCGCTCTGGCCAGCCCCGCTCTGTGCCAGCCCGGCTCTGTGCCAGCCTGGCTCTGGCCAGCCCCGCTCTGTGCCAGCACCGCTCTGTGCCAGCCCTGCTCTGTGCCAGCCCCGCTCTGGCCAGCCCGGCTCTGGCCAGCTCGGCTCTGGCCAGCCCCGCTCTGTGCCAGCCCCACTCTGTGTCAGCCCCGCTCTGTGTCAGCCCCGCTCCGGCCAGCCCGGCTCTGGCCAGCCCCGCTCTGTGCCAGCCCGGCTCTGGCCAGCCCCGCTCTGTGCCAGCCCCGCTCTGTGCCAGCCCCACTCTGGCCAGCCCCGCTCAGTGCCAGCCCCGCTCTGTGCCAGCCCGGCTCTGGCCAGCCCGGCTCTGGCCAGCCCGGCTCTGGCCAGCCCGGCCCGGGGCTGGGGCCGCGCTGGGCTCTCGCCCTGCCCCGAAGCCAGCTCGGCCCCAGACAGCGGAGGAGCGGCCGGGACAGGCGGGTGCCGGCCTCTGCTCGGGGATTTCCTCTCCGGGGAAGAACCGCGAAGGGACACGCAGGGACAGGGACAGGGACAGGGATGGGCAGGGACAGGGACAGTGATGAGCAGGGGCAGGGACAGGGACAGGGGCACAGACAGGGGCCAGGGAACGGACAGCGACAAGGGGATGGACACGGACAGGGACAGGGATACGGACAGGGGCAGGGGACGGATATGGACAGGGACAGGGGA